TCATTTAATACAAGATAGTATAAGCTCAAGTATGTGAAGTATGATGTAAGATTATTCACTTATCTACACTCAGTGAAGTGTTTGTAATGCTTATCTTATATATTCACTTTCTCAAAGTTATACAAGATTCATTTGAAAAACTCATTCTATGTTTATAAGAATGACTATTATTTCAGATCTGTGAGATTTATCTTTTTATCAGTTATTCACAATGACTTCACTTTTTCATGTAGAAATGTAACAGATTTTAAGACTTGTTGAAATTTTATTAACTGTCTATCTGTAAGTTTATATTCAATCTGATAATATAATTGCATCTGACTTAGCCAGCTGATTGCAGCATTATTTTTTCAGTCACTATTAAAGTTTAATGACTCTGACAGATTTCTCAGCTTAATGTATCTTATGTTCAGATTCTCATTCTGCACAGTGATCTCTGATGATGTATACACTTTTAAAGAGATTGTGAACAATCATGATAAGATCTTCAGATTCAGTGTAGTTATCTATCTGTATAATCATTCAATCTCTCACTACAGATCTAAGACCTGGTTTTCTCTATTCTTATTAATGATGATGATTGTATCAGTGAAGCTCTTCATAGTGAATACTTGATTTACAGTGAATGCTAATTGTTGTTTAACTTCTATCTCAGTCTATCACTGTGTAAACAAGGCCTTGGTTTTATTTAGAATTCTTGTACATGTATGAAGCTTTGATTCTGATTCAATAATCTTGATTACTTTTCTTACTACTTTGAGTAAACTCTCTAAGAGGTTCTGCATATCTTCTGGTTCAGATAGCAGAGAAGAGTGTTGTTTATATTAACTAGAAAAGATATTCATTTCAGTGATTTTTCATTAATTGTATAATGTCTATTATTATATCACTATATTATTATATTACTATATCATTATATCACTATATTATTATATAATTTCTGTTATTATTATATAACTTCAGTGATAGCTATCTCTCTTTTATTCTTCTGAGTAGAGAGTGATCTTCTTTGAATCTGATTCACTACTTCTCTCTCTTTTCTCACATTTTATCTATTCACATATGTGGCATTTATCTGAGTATAAAGTTTTTCTTTAACAAGCAGAGCAGTATCAATCACATGCTCTTCTACTCATCACTTCTTCATACACTATCTTTTGAGGTGTTTTAGAATCACACTGACATGATAACTATGAATTGCTTCATAGACAGAATTATCATGCTCTGAAGAAGCCTGCACTTCTCACTAGTTTTTAAACATGCTATCAGATATGATTCAAAGATTGCTTGAGTCAGCATACAATTACAGGCATACGCCGGCTTCTTATATACATTATCTAAATTAATTAGTGGCCGCTAGGGCCCCTTTACATTTGTAAGCGTGTTCGGAAGCGGCCGTGTTATTATCCGGCGGTCGTACGTTCTTCCGAACCACAATATTTTAGTAGCATTATTACTCTTTCTATCTGACTTGATGAAATCTTTGTTCTTGTTCTCAGAGATCTTCTTCTTCTTCTTATTCTTTTTATTCTTTCTGTTGAAATCTTGAGTAGTATTTACAGAGGTCTTTTCATTGAAGATGAGAGATTCATCAGTAGCTGGCAATTATAGAAGAATATCTTAACATAATCTCATGAAATTATCTTTAAGTATTCTAGTATTCTCATTCTTCTCTATTACATTTATTTAATTCTTTATAAAAGATAATTAACCTTTACTAATCTCTGTAAGAAGTCTGTCAAAAAACATGAAATCTTCAATATTATATCTTAATCAGATATAATCAGTTCTGATTGTAATTAAATGTTTAATAAATATGTAATCAGAACTCTTTGATTTTAATATCATCTCAATTAATTCTTGAAACAGATAAGTTCTGTGAATAGCAGACCTCTCAGTAAAATTATTCTCTATAATAGATTATAGAGAATAAGCAGATAGTTGAGACTTCTTAAGTATAATAAAGTGAGATTTGATCTGCAGAGTGATTACAGACTATATATAGTTATATAACTAGATATTTCATTCTGATTAAAAATGTTGTATATTCATACTGATATTCTCATCAGAATTAATCTACTTATTATTAAGAATATTATTCATTTCAGATTATCTCACTATAAGCAGATTCTCTTCTTTTTATATAGAGTAATTTACAGAGTTAATGAGTATAACAGACTTCTTTATACATCTTACTTAATCTCTAAATTCATTAAAAATCTTTATTAATGCAGATATTCTACTCTTCTGTTAAAGATAGTTTATCAAATTTATACTAAGCTCTTCATTTTTATCTCTGTCTATCTTGATTCACTTAACTTCATACTGAAGTCTTGCAATTTCTAGTCTCATGCAAGTCTTCTCACTTATAGAGCTATTATCATTTCAGTCACTTAAGCTCTCTGCATTGTCTAACATCTCACTGATACCTTCAATCAGATCTTTATATTTATTAAACTTATCAGACTGTTTCTCTGCAATGATTTTATCTGACTTAAATATCTCAGAAGTTATCTTCTGATTTATTATTAATATTAACAGTGATCTGTGATCTTGTGTTTACTACTCTGATATTTTCTCATTTCTCTATCTTGAAGACATATATTCTTTTATTAAGTCAGATGTTCTCTCAGATCTTAGATTAATCATGAATTCAATCACTTAATGAATTATCTAGACATGCTTGTAATAATTAGACTGACCGTGTGACCGTGTCTGAGATCAGGATCAAACTTTACAGTTGTCACATTGCCTAAAAGCATTACTTCTGATCATGGTTTGTGTTCATCACATTGATCTCAAATCATGTTATTTCAAATATTAAAGATCTCAGATTCACTTTTCAAATAAAAATCTAGTTCTGAATAAAGAATATGTTTGAATTCTTAGTCATATTTTCATTCTGATCTCATTATTGAGAATGACATCAAATAGAATCATGAAATCACTTCTCACTTACATAATATCATAACATAGTACTCATTTATTGAAAATTTAACAGAGAGTGTTATTAAATATCATTACTTTTTTAAACACAGATCATAATTCATATAATTTTAATTATGAAAAAAATATAAAATACAAAAAAAAAAAAACAAAAAATAAAAAACAAAATAAAAACAAGAAAAAATCAGAATGAACAAAAAAAAAAAAAAAAAAAAAAAAAATAAAAAAAATCAAGATTGCAGAGCTGCAGCACTCTTAAAATACTCACTTTTCAGAGTCTTTATAATATTCATTATCAACTGTGTATCTCTCACAGTGAGAATAACACAGCTGTGATAGATTATTATCTTAATATTATCTAATAAATAATCAGTATATATCTGTATAAATATGAATATTTAGAAAATATACACTTAAAAAGTGTGGTCAGGGTGAACTCTGCTGTCACTTGAATAACATTAAGAGCAGAACACTGAAATCAATAATTCTCTTCATTAATTTCACAGATAAGATAAGTGAAGATGATCTTGAAAAATATAAGATTCTCTGACTTCTGCTAAAAACAGATCTCACAGAGAGACTCTATTTTCATGATATCAGAGACTGAGTGTTATTAAAAAGCATTACTTTCATACAATGCACATGTACTTACTGTGACAATTCATTCTCTGCATATATAATCAAGAGTTGTGACTTTCTCACATCACACAGCTCTCTCTGAGATGCTGACACTGGTTTGCAACTCACACAGTCTCTCAGTTCAGCATGCACTGTGTGTATACAGCTCTGTGTACTGAGGCTGTGTTGATCATTATGGCCTGGCGTGATACTCACTTTTCACAGGCCATGTTTCATTTGAGAGGGGAGAGAGGAAGACACAACTGTGGTTTTATTGAGAGAAAATGAATAATTAGTAATATTGAATGTAATTTGATTCTTCTGCATTTAAAATTTGATTAGTCTATACTTTTCAATTTAAGAGTTTCTGGAAGTGTTTTAATAGTTTTCATATCAGCTTGAATTTAGTGATGAATTGAAGAAGAAGAGAAAAGAGAGAAGAAAGAAATAAGAATAACTTATCTTTATAATATGAAAACAGAGAATTACTGCAATTATTCTTTCTAGTAACAAAGATCTGTTTTCTACATGTATCTCTGATATAGATTATATGATAACTGTATATAAAGAATATTAACACTGCATGCATTGAATGAACATGATGTTGCTATGTAGCACTGTAGCTGTTTTCATATATCTCTGAAAGCTGTTAATATTTTCTTTGTCTCTTTATATTTGATAAGTCAGTAATATATTTCAATGCACTTCTTCTTTCATTATTATCATTATTATTATCATTAATATCATTATCATCATCATCACTATTATCATTATCATTAACATTATCACTATTATTATCATTATTATCATTATTATCATCATCATCATTATTATTAGTATCATTATATTATTCCTGACTATCTCTTCTGCCTTCATCTCTCTTCAACACTCACTGAAATCAATCATGTCATTCTTCTTCAAATATTCTGCAGTTCTGTGAACCATCAAGGCGTGTAAGCACTGTCACAGAGAGAAGAGAGAGAAGAAGAAGATATTTAAGCAAGAGAAGACTGATTACAAGACATATTATAATGTCTTGAAGAGGCTTTATAAGAGAGTAGAATGATAACAATTTTAAGTAATACTTCTAATAGATTTAGACTGAACTAAGTATAGAAATAATGCAGATGACACTGCCTGTGAGAGATTGAAGAAGAAGATAGTAAAGAGTCTTATACAGTAGTGATAAGATCAGGAGAAGTTCTGAGAATAATTTGAGTTCAAGATAAAGAGAGAAAGAGAGAAGAAGAGTGTTACTGTAAATAAGTAGTAGTAGAAGAAGATTGAGAAGGTATTGAAGTGAGAGATAAAGAAGTCAAAACTGATAAGTTTTTTATTTATTGAAAGATAATGATTTTTGATAATACTTCTGTTCTCTAATTGATTAGCAGGAGCTGACAGAGAAGAAGAGAATTGAGGCCTTGTTTAGGTCTCAAATGCACTCTATAATTCAGAATATTGAGAAGACAGCTCTGCTCTCTGAGCATGTCAATCTGCTTGCTGCTGAGATGAAACCTGAGACAGCAGACCAGGAAATGCAGGATTTTGAAGCACAGGTTGACCTGGCTGAGAGAAAGCAGCAGAAACCCTTCTCTGAGAAGACAGTGAAGAGAGATTTTGAGATGATTATTATCTCAGATAAGAAGGAGAAGAAGAAGAAGAAGAAGAAGAAGAAGAAGAATGAGAAGTAAATTATAAAGAATGATAAGAAGAATGAGAAAGAGAAGAAGTAGATTTTTTTCTTTTTATATTAGTTAGTTATAAGTTTAAGTTTTTAATTATTAATAATTAAAATTGATTTTAAGTTTTTAAAAATTATTGTACAAGTTGTAATCAAGTCAGGAATGATATATATATATATATATATTTAACTATCATGATTCACAAATCACTATAATGTATAAGTATCAACATTTTTTCAACATTGATATTTATAATATTAATATATTTTTAATGATATCATCTGATAATGTAATTTAATAATGCTCTCTTTTACAATATTAATATATTTCAAGAAATATGACAGAGATTAATCAAGATTGTTTATTTACTTTTATACATTAATAATATTCAATCTGAGTTAGTACTAAAATTATAACTAAGCTAAGAAATGAGATTATTTTCTCTTATATTAATTCTTCTTACATATATCAGTGATCAGTTATTGAAAATAAATTATCATCTTTCTCAAATTATTATTATATCTTCTGAATTCATTTCTTTCACTTCTTTTACTTCTATTGAAGATTCACAAACTCTTCAAGAAATCACTGTGAATTACAAAGTCTATATTGTTTACAATTCAACACAGAATGCTCTCTTTCAATTATGATAAATAATCACTTCATTCTTCACATCTGATTTCAGGTCATGAAATTTATGAAAAGCTCAATACAAATATCAAGATAATCTATGAAATAATTATTGACAGATTGTATTGTAGATTACTGAAGAGTTATCTCTCTGCTACAATCACTGCAACTTCATTCAGAAACATTCATCATAAACTGATCATGACTCTGAAGAAATTTTCTGATATCTGAAGTTATCAGAATGTAGACAATAAAAGAAAAATAATCAGAAAATTACTACTAAGCTGATAAGTTACTTTATCAGATAATAATTTTTAATAATACTAACTTTCTAATTTGAAGAAAATTATGTGAAAATAATTGTATATCAGTACTCTGATTTCACAACTCTCATCTGATAACTTCTGTGAATAATTACTTTATATATATATATCTCTGAATCTTTCTCTTCAATCAATTGAAAACTCTGAATTTCAAACACTTCTTCAAATGCTTAATTTAAATCTTCATATTTCACATTAATTCTGTCTTCAGTTCAATCTCAAGATACACTACAAAGTCAATATATAATATCTAGAATCAGAGTTGAAGAATCATCAAAGAGTGTCTCTCACAGTAAATGTATAAACTAGTATAAATAATCTTATATTTATGAAAGTTACATGTTATTACATTGATGAGAACTGAACTTATTAAGAGATATTAATTGAATTTGAATCATTGATTAGTAGTCATACTGGGAATTATATAGCAGAGATATTAATAACTGTGATTAAAAATGACTATTAAGATATTAGTCCCAGTCTTCTTACAATTACAACTGACAATACTGTGAATAACTACACTATGATAGAGAGCTTGAAGCAAAAATTGACTTTGCATTTCTAAAATGATAAACAAGGTCATATTCTCTGCATTGCTCATGTGGTTCAACTTGTGATACAAACACTGATAAAGAATCTTAATATTGAGATAAAGAATAATGAGATGACTGGTTCTTGAAATAAGAATGAGATGAAAGTGATTACTTAAGTAACTTTTACATCTACTTTGTAAAAGATAATGTTTTTTGACAACACTTTTTGATAATGCTTTTTGATAATACTACTGTTAATTTTGAATAGATTGACTAATAATTTAAATATCACAGATTTGAAACATTGCTAATGTGATTTGTATCTTCTCTAAATAATAACAATGATTTCATGATATTTAATAAATAAACAAATCAGTTATATCACTGAATATGATACAGAATGTTAGAATACAGTGAAGTTCAACATATAAGATAACTATTCAGACTCTTCAATTGTATCAGATGATTGATCATTGAGTGCAACACTCTGATCAGAAAAAGATTCAGATATTGAAACTTTCTGATATGAAGTGAACTCAGTTGAAATATATGATTGATTTACTGTTTCAGTTTTATAAGATAACAAAGACAGTCTCAATCACTTGTATATCAATGCTGCAGTCAGTCTGATAAGTGTATAACAGTTTATTTACTTATCTTGAGAAGCAGTTGAATCACTTAAAAAGAAATTCAGTCTGAGATGATGCTATAGTGCAGGCTATTATTGCTGTAAGAGATAAACTGGTATATTACTACAGTAAAACTGAATAATCTTTTACAGAATACTATGCTGTAGCAGCTCTACTAGATTTCTCTTATCAAGTTAACATCTACACTTCTCAAGATTGAACAGAGAAGGAATAAGACTTATATATCAAATTAGTCTGAGACTACTACAATATCAACTATCAGAGATTTGAATAAGCAGATGTTTAAAATGTGAAGACAGTGAAATTCAATTCTCTAGTAAGTAACAATCTTTGATAATACTTCATATCTCATAGAACTATAATACTAACTTTGAAACAGAACTTGTATACATTGATTGCAACTGAAAATCAGGCAAAACTACATACTTGTAAAACTGAATTTGACTGCTATCTTCAAGATAATCTGACAAATTTACATGCTAAATTAATTCTAGAGTTATGAAAAATTGTTGAGAGTATATATTCAACTGTTGTACTGATGATGTATGATATTCTGACAATTTCATTGACAGAGATGAGAATGAAGTGAAAGTTCAACTCAAGTTGAGATATTTATCACTATCATCAGAGATAATTACAAGAAGAAATAATTAAGAAACTCATGATTATAAAACATGAAATTATCAGATGGTTTAATATCTCTGATCACAGTATATCAGAGAAGTGTAGTTTTTATGAAAAAGTGAAGAATAAACTTGTACAAGAATGTATTTAGTTATTTCATGAGTGTTATCAATAATCATTATCAAATTCTAATTATATAAGCAATCACTGAATGAACTGAATGAGACTGATTTTAATCTTCAGTCTCAGTCTCATTCTGATTTTAGAAGAATGATCATCTTTCATAGTTTATTCTGAGAAATTACTCTCATTTCACTGTTCTTGAATTAAATCTGGTCATTTTTCATGTCATTTCTCTCAGAAATGGTTCATTTTCAGATTTTTTTGAGACTTGGTTCTGGTGGAACTCACGCCAAGAAATGTATGAAACCAGACCAAATGAGACTAAATGTGAAATTCATGATCCCGCCGGCCTGTCTAGTAACAATGCATGAAGATGTGAATTGCATGTTATTTTACAGCTTTTCATTGCATAGAGAGCTTGATAACCTCTTGAAGAATAATATTATTATGTTATATATAGAATCTATCTACGCGAGTTACACTAAATAGATTGAGATAGTACGTGACTAGAGTAGATGTAGTAATCATTAACATTTTCTGCTTTCTGACTATGTATCTGAGCGGTAGCTTACAAATCATTTACAGCGCGGTTATGATTTCTCTTGAGTCAGAAAGCACAAAACTTGACCTTGCTAAGTACGTCACTTAACCTTGTTATGTAAGCTGATCTTGTAAATGTGACTCATACTACTATCTGACCTTGCTTAATACATCTTTTCTTATAATTTAAAAGCACTCAATTATTTATCATCAATTCAATAATCAATTCTTAATTAATTCAAAATCAATTCAAAATCAATTTAATACTGAAATTATTCTTGAATTTAATAATAAAGTAAGTATTTATATAATTTACATTGAATCAATTATTAACTGATTTTCAATCAATTATTAATTACTTAAATATATAGATTGAATCTGTTTTTATTATTATAATTAATTAATAATCATGTAAGAGGCCTACGCTGAATAAATTGATATGATATTAATAGATCTTATATAATAAAGAGAAAAACATTAGAGAAGAAAAAGAAAGAGAAAGTACAAGAATCAGCAATCAAAGTAGATATTTATACACATATGTAGTGACATACACAGTGAGGCTTCAAAGCAGAAGAATCTATACATGTTTATAGCAACTGAGAATCAGCAATTAAGAGTGACTGAGAATCAGAGTGTATATATTCAAGAATGAAGCAGTTGAAATCTGTGAAGTATAACAGAATAGTCTATATAATTGATCAGACACAGCTCATTATATTAACTCTTCTCTTTCAGAAGCAGTTCTCATCAGTTAAGAGCTACTGTTTCAGATAATATAGAACTTGAAGTTCAGATCAGTTGATCATAGTTAATCTATTTCATGAGATATTATCAGCTGCAGCTGCAGAGTCTCTTATCAAGAATATTCTCAATCTCTCACTTAAGCTCATTATCTTCTTCTATGATGCCTGGTGACTGTCAGTCAGAAGTCAGTTGAGAAGAGAACAGATCAGTGACAGTGTAGCAGAGTAAGCTTGTATGAAAGAGATTATGAATCTCTGATAATGTGTCAAGACAGTAGTTATAGCTATCTAGAACTTCTATCACTTTATACTTGATGTAATGATAATTCAGTATATAAGATAAATATGTGATCTGTATATTCTTAAGATTCAATCATATCAAGTCTTCTATCTTATATTGTTCAGCAGAGTCTCAGTGAACATTGATTTAATTCTCTTAATCTTGTTTCACAGTTGTCATGAAGGCCTCTGCTCAGTTGCAGATATTTTGAAGCTTTATTACTATATTATCAGCAATCTGAATCAGACTGCAGAGGTTCAGTGTGAACTATGTGATCTCTCAAAGATTCAACATCTTTATGTGATAACTATGTGTAAGAAAGAACAGGCTTACACCTGTTGAAATAACATCTCATTCGTTGATAGCACTCTCTGTGTGTAGAAGTAGATCATGTCAATTTTCTTGTAAGTGATTGCAGAACTTATAGAGATAATTCTTTACAGTCTGAATTGTTTATTCTGATGCATCATCAGTCTCAGAGTGATAGACAGTTAACAGACAGTGTGTAATCTTGAGAACTTGATAGATTCTTGTTTAGAGAGTACTTATAAATTGACAGC